TTTTGACACCGATAAAACAAGTCGTTTTCGATGTCGCCTCCTTTTTCCAATCCTCGGGTAGCTACGGGCTGTTAACCAGAGGGTTGTAAGGTAGTGCTAAATCCTCTAATCACTACAACACACAAAGTGTAAAAACGGAAAATGGGGACATCTGGTGTCTAAATGACCACTCTCACATCGTCTGTTTAGTGATTGGCTACTGGGTTAACTCGGTTCACTGGAGCACCGATCGCTGGAATGCAAATTTAGCAAATATGCAGATTCCACGACACGGTGGTAGTAGATGTGGTCAACACGATGAAACCGACAACCAATTTAGTAATCAAATATGCTGCAAACAAAAATGCTGATGCAAATGCAAGATGACTGGCCTATTGATGGTCCATCATCCAGAGCACCCAAGTGTTTTGTGTTGACAGTCAATCTGACAAGCCCTTCCTAAGCACTGCTAACCAGTGACGTGACAAGCCAACGTCTCTTGCTTTGATGGTTTGTGTTTCCTTCAGATTTCACTTGTCCGATGTTTGGCTCTGTAATTGTGACCATTTCGCGAAGCACAACACTCAAGTACCTTTCCTACACGATGCACTTGGTTTGGTGTTTTCTGCTTCTGCAGTGAACTGCACACACTGTCACGTGCGTGGTATTAGGAATGCCACACGTTGGAAGCAGGCGTAGAGTTACCAAATTTCATCAGATTCTTTTCACGCTGGTGATGTCTGCAAGTAGGATGTTTTGACGACGGAAAATACAGATATACGCGCATTATACTTCCACTATGTTAGCATGCGTGCATTATGCTAGCCAATGAAACTCCCTAATTTTGCGATTGTTTTTTTCATTTCAAAAGGCCTAATAACTATTTCAAGTGCAACCGTTTCAACAGAAATAGAAAAACTATGGAAGTGAAATGCATGAGACTTTCCAAAACCGCTATGTTAGTTTGCGTCGTAATGCTAATTTTTGGTTGGACCATTGTTAGAAACTTTGTGTTTCGAAGCAAACTGCATGATTTGAGTGTGACGACTGAAATATCGGAGAGCGGTCTAATTGCCTATCATCATGTCATTGACCAAATGCAATGGATATCCGATCTCGCAACTAACCAGGTAAGCTATTCAGGCAATAGCATTTCGCCTTGATTTTGGTTATTCACATTTAATTATGTTGACAAAGGAAGCAAACGAGTAGAAAAGCCTGCGAACGATATGTTTTCTATTACGTTTGCATTCAAATCTGTTAAACATATACATCTATCTATCGTCTCCCTATCTTTCTGTACCACGATGCATCCTGGAAGCAGGCATTTACGTTGTAGAGTGAGTTGTCGACTGGCAAAGCACCTGTGATCTACTACGACCGAAAACTACTGTATCATCCCACAGATCCGGCTGGGTGTCGCTACAAGTGCGTATTTAATCACGATAAAGAACGATTGGGCAAGGGTGATGTTGTGGTATATTCTGGCACATTTTCGCCTGAGGAAGCACGGAAGCTCAAACAACGAGGAGTTCTGATCGTGTTCGAGTCAGGTGAAAGCCCGTGGCACATGCCGTCTCTGGACACTTCGCAGTTGAGTCAAGTAAGTGCGTTGTCTGCATGATCGTGCGTTCGTGCCCATAGTACGCTTGCTAAGAGTTAAGGTCACCTACAATTACCATCAAAAATTCACCAGCGTATTCATATTCACTAGCACATAATATAATCAGATATTGGCAGAATTTTATCGTGTCCCTATGATGTGTCAGAAGTATGTGACTTCACGATTCACTCAGAGGCACTAAAACTGACATTGAAAGGTGCCCGATTGTACCTTAAATGTGGACTTTGCAGCTGGGAATCTTCGAGCAGTTGCGCATTCGGGAGATGAACCTATTGAGAAGGCGCTTGAGGAAGCGGTCTTTAGTTCATTCATAATAGTCAAATACATTACACCTTGATAGGACAGTGAAAACATTGCCTAATCCAGTTATGTTGTCTAATTCTCACGCAAAATCTTGAAAATTCAAGAAGCTCATCGTGTTCCCATGCATAAAATAGGTCAATGCAATCCTTACATTACACAATTTTATAAAAATGCAATGAAATGGAAGTTTTGATCGAACGCAGGACCAAGATTGGTGCGCGTCGTCAAATTAACGCACATGTATGCACCTATTAATATTTTAAAGATCGACATGTTTAACACGTACATGGCGGCTTCCCCTGTGCCCTACATGTATCCCCACTTCGTCCGCAACACAAAACCCAAATTGAAATTCACTGACGAGGAAAAAGCTGCGATGTTGGCAAAAGACAACACTTACCTGCTGCCTCACTACCACAGACAGAAAACAAAAATAATCGCGTGGGTTGTCTCCAATCATTCGCCGCGAAACAACAGAAATGCGTACGCAAAGGCGATTGCAAAATTCATTCAGGTAAACTGCTTTACCTTTGACTTGTTTTAATGCATTGCTTGTGAAAAAACTGACTTGTCCCATCGCAAAGGCGTCAAAGTACCCTATAATCCACCTTTCGCCCTAACAGGGATAAATAAAAGACTTTTGGATGGACGGAATTAGATTGAAAATTTGGTTAACAGGATGTCCAACGACTTGATTTTAGTAAACGGGCATTTTTTCACGGCTCGATGAGCGACGACTTGAACATGTGGCAAGGTTTCGTGTACACGGTGTTTTGGCTTATTTCGGCGATGTCGAAATCAGATAGTGTTTTACATGGGAATGTATTCTTTGTTTGCACCATCTGCTGAAAGCAATTAACATCGTAAAAAAAATGTGCCATTGTAGCGATGCATTCATGTCTGCGATGTAGGCCAATCGAAGTGCACGGTGTAAAACACAACCACAATGACTCTCATTCTTCATTAAGACGCTTAGCTTTCTGTTTTGATAACCACCGTAAACAGAACCATTCTCAATTCTGATTTATTCGCCAGCACACATTTCTATGTGATTCCCACTCCCAAATATGTGCCTTAGTATTGTGCAATATGCACCGTACGCCACGGCAATCAGCAGCATACTACTTTAGCAATCAAGTACTTCAGCGCTATACTGCGGTTTATTTTCTGCGGAGTAGCATTGCCTGTGCACACAACACAATGCTACATTAGGTTTCATTTAAAGCCAGTCAAAATATGTTACCATGAGAAACACACAACAATGTGGAACCATCACATTGGTCGTCACGATAGCTTGAGAATGGGGTGTGTTAGTTGATTGGCAATGATTTAAACCCCAACTGTAAGTATCTTCACCTCTAACGCCAATAGGCCTATGCCCAATAGTACCAACTAATCATCATTTTGAACCAATTCATTTTTTGCACTCCAATTTACACTTTTGCCATGAGATTTATATTAAATTTCAACAATGTCAGTTAAGCCACTCGTTACCCGACAGCCAGCAACAGGATCTCTGTTCCAAGGATTGTAGAATGAATATCTGCTGTGTCGTTGTAGAAACCCATGACATTTAAAATGCTCCTTGATGCTCAGGAGGACAACAAAGAGGACTACACACCAGATAATTAGTGCATTAGAAGCAATGATGTTTGGGTTAATTTTGCACTCTTCAGAGCATCTTAGTTCACCATAAATCATTAAGGCACGCCTAAATTAATGTCAATAATTGGGCCACTTGATAGGGGCATTCAGCACATGCCTACGCAATTCAGCATAAAAGTCGTTGGCGTTAATTACTGAACAATTTGAGCTGCATAGGAAATGTAGAGTGATGCTTTTGTTTTGCCTACGTACATGCGCCTGATCGAAGTATTCAACCCTTACCGTCTATTAGTGAGTTAAAACGACGAGCGTAAGTGGTGTGCTCGTGGCAACATTGGACTTTCAATTGTAGGTGGACATATACGGTCAGGGAGGAAGGCAGTTTCCAAGTGGTCGTGATGAATTTCAATGGCTTTCCGAAAACTACAAGTTCTACTTGGCCTTCGAGAATTCGAACTGCAGAAATTACATAACGGAAAAGGTTACATCAAATGCATTGAAGTACGTCGGGCTGCATGAATTGGTTTCACTAATGCAGTGCTCGCTCCTTAGGATTAGGCTTGAGCCAAGCTAAGTTCTTATGAAGACAGTAGATGAAGGTTTCAAGTAGCTTTCACAGCAGAATTCAATATTCTGGCATGCGGGCATGTAAATGAGATGGTACACATAATCCTAAACTACCCATTGATAATTCATTTAACTGCCGTGCTATATTCAAAACTTTTGCCAACCTTGAACGAATCAGACAACTGGTTGAATCGTAATGTTGATTTGGCAGCTGCATGTCCTCTTGTTTGTCTTACTTGTTACAAACTGGATCAGAATTCCATGTTGGAGGGAATTTCAGAAGGACGATAAGATGGTTGTCGATAATGTGTCTGTGTTTGGAGGCAGGCATGGCATTAACCGCGTTGCGGCGTGCATCAATAAAAGCCTGATGTAAATTTTAGCCTAAAATTAATAACTTTTCGTTACTTTTGACAGTTTAAACATGGTTCCCATTGTCCTCGGAGCATACAAGGAAGACTACAATGATGCTCTTCCACCTCACTCCTACATCAACGTGGATGACTTCAAGTCCATTCGCAATTTGACAGATTATTTGCTCTACCTGGACAGAAATGATACCGCCTATGCCGAGTACTTTGCCTGGAAGGAACACGGACAAATCCATGTGAGATTTGCTTTAGCAAAACACTTGCATTCACTGTTACCAGAGTAATCGGCAATGCACCGTTAGCGCACAACTTAAGCATGCACTGCAGGCACCGCCGGACAGGCAAAAGTATTGACACCACAAATCCATTTGTTTAAAATCTTTTGGATTTGCTATTCTGGTATTTAAGTGAAATTACTGGTCTTGATGAGCACGCGATGATGGCAAGCACAGTGCATCAGAGTGTGCGTCGAGGACCTTACTGATTTCCGCTATTCTGTCCTATTCAGCCATGCTTGTTTAAATTTGTTACAACTCCAACTTCTATTGCAAATGATAAGGTGGGTTGTCGATCATTCATACGATCATTTATACGAGACATGCATGGTAAACGTGACTGCTGAAGTAACACATGGCCTTACTAACGTCAAGGAACAGTTCCAGCATTGCGTGGGAGGTTGGTGGCTGAATTGCGACCTGAGTATATTTAGCGGGAAGACGGTTGATGTGAGTGAGCCTCAGTAAGTGAGAAGGAGTGGAGACGAATTCGATGTGTGTGGATGTGAGGGTTGCACTTAAACCGAAGTATCCACTTGTCATATAGGAACAGACATACAAAGTCACTTGTCAACCAACATAATGGTGAATTTGGTTGCAACCGAAACGTGCCATTTGTTACCCTGTTTGCCTGGTTATTATCTGTGCAAACTGTGAATGGCGGTTAGCGTTGTACGAACAATAACTTCAGTTCACTATGCTGCAAGACAGCATCATTGTTGCAGATATACTCATAGTCAGCTAAGCAAGCGAATAGGCAATAGAGATGCTTATTCAGTGATTGGTTTGTATTTTGTAGAAAGCAAATAGATTGGATTGTCGCCTTTGTGGTTTCGTGTATCAGCTGAACAAAGGCACGGTCAATCTCAAGCTTCCAGAATTTCGCAGTTTCGTTGATCCGCAAAGACTCTGCTTTGAACGGCCACTGCTGCCACTGCGGTGAACCCGTTGCTTGTGCTTTGTCCGCTGCAATAGCCATTAACCCCCAAAAATGTTGGCGACAAATTTTGGGCTTAGTTACTGGCACTTTTACTCTGAATTTGTTTACACTCGACTATTTTGTATTGCTAAAATGCTATAAGTGTAACTGGACTGGTTGTGTGAGCACAGTCCAGTTATATTCCATTTCCACACTTCACTGATTTCGTTGACTTTGAGCTCTAACAGTTTAGTACTATGCTGAGTCGTTAGCAATATTCACGTCAATTCACTTAGTACTTATCCATTAAATTCGCACTAATTGTATTTCCGAATGCACTAAACCCGAAGCAACACTTTTTCCACTTTTACTTTTGTTGAATTTCCACTTTTATGTTCGCCTTCATTAACGCTGGTTTTCGTGGTTAAAATGAAGAGGAAATAAATGCTGGTTAAGTGAAACCCAGCAAACAAATCTGTCGACCCACATCGGGAGTCGGTGTTGAGCTACTGCTTCCACTGCAGACTACTATTGCATGAATGTAATTTATTTTCTGTACAACAGCACTATAGGTTACATGAAGTGAGTTGCGATCGTCGGTGGGTGAAGCGTGATGTTTCACCTTCCTAATATTGGCTGATTAGGTGTTTTGTCAGATAGTCTGTCACATAAAATGCCCTCCGAGATCAATCCACGAGATCATGTACTAACTTTTCTGTGTTGCTCCAATGCGGTGTCGATGCTTCAGTTTGGCAATACAAACACAAGCGTTAACCCGCTTGTTAAAACAGAACATCCACTTACGGCGTGCACAAATACAATGCTTCTGACAACAACGCAGTCAGGCACATCGACGAATAATTGCCTGATCTCACCATAATCAATTTCGTATTTTAAGGCAAAACGCTTTTCTTCATGTTGCTGAAGCATCCTGGCTAACACAGCAAGCAGTTGTATGTTCCACAATCAAAGCAATTTTGACAGTCCAACTTGAGAACAGCACAAATTCTTCTCTCAAAACGAACCATAGAAATTAATCTAATCCCTTACTGTTAGAATGGCAATGTAAGATAATCCCACTTGAGCACTGATTCAACGACAGATTTAAAGAGATTTTGGCAATCACGCCAGTCAAATAGGCAGTGTGTGAGTTGTAAGTCAAATGTGGGATGTGTGTGAGAGGATACACGTGCAACTGGAAGGAAGAATGGAACAAAAAGGAAACAGCACATCCCATTTTACCTTCTGTGAACAAATACATGTTGCCACACCTGGAAGCTCCCTGAATGTTTCCTAGACCAAGTTTTTATTCAATCCTTGTGTAAGTCCACGCGCTTTCACTGCTCATTTTTTTTGTGATTGGTGAAGAGAGATGTCTTAGTCATACGAATGCACGAAGACTTGCATCAGCATTTAGGGATTGCAAACTGATGAAAAGCTGTGACAACCGAAAATCAGACGAAGCGATTCGTGACGATGTCTATGATTTTGCATGACAGGTGTTGGTTGCATAACATCTGGTAGAATGACTACTACGAAGTTATTTCGGTAGGAAATTAATATCTCCACGCAACGAATATTGGATCGCAATTGTGAGTCTGTAGATATCAGTTTGATGGAAAGTAATTCAACAAAGGCCAAAACCTCCGATTTTTGCTACTTCACTGGCTAGCGTTTACTGTTGTTTTAAACGAATAGCATGAGTAGCACGAGTGTGTCCTTGTTTTGTGGTACAAACGGTGCTTTAATAAATGACTTAAGAAAGCAATTTACGTACTTCAAGGGCATATGATCATACAAGCGTATGGCAGACATGCCACTCGAGACCTTTTGATGAAATTATAAATGGAACGACGTTTGCGAACACGTCATGTTTCGTTAAACTTTGATTTTGTGGGCGGTGCTGCGTTAGCAAATGAATGAACCAATTTATGACCCAATCTAGAGTATAGATAAGGTTGCAATTAAGTAAGCACACTAATGAAACAGACGTGGTTTCTTCAAAACTATAATTCCATCAGTATGTCCCTCCAGTAATACTTGAAACTGCTTCAAGTTGGTTGTTATACAACTATGGCAGCATTGTATCTTTGAGTCTAGACTCTAATAATGTTTTTAACCAAGTGTCCATGTGCTTATTCACCAACATTCCAACAGGTTCGACATGAAGTGTGAGCACGCCTTCAAATGCAAAAAAAGAGATGTACCATCCCACAACAGAAGTATACATGGAGTGTACAATATATGCTACTTCACAGAAGGCTTCAGGATTAGGATGATCAAATTACCGCAACAAGGTAAGTATTGCATTTAAAATGGAGCTCTGTTGTAGATGCAATAACGCAGTCTAGGATTTACCTTGAATTGTGACCTGAAGTCAGAGGCACATGCCCAGTGATTACCTCTGCAACACATTTAACCAATATTGAAAATCCAGATGTTTCTTAAGACTGAGAGCGTATTGAAATGCGTTGCAAAACTTTCGATGTCAATGACTAAGGCTATTCTATATTGGCTTCTGGCATCATTCGCTTAAAAACCACGTCCACATATCCTAACAGATAAGCACACCTGACAGGCGTGACACGAACGAGCAGTCGTATCCGCTGTTGACTGTCTTGTCTCCGCTCTCGTCTTGTTACTGACTGTTCACTTGCCGGATTATAAGGTGGTGTAGGCAAACTAGTACATAACCATCATGAATGTCTCAGATTTAACTGGTGTCAAAACATCTTTGACATTTTGCATGCTTGAATTTGCCATTTCTGATCCCATTCTGTTTAATCAACGGTCGCTTACTACCGTAGCAAACAGACAGCCACTTCGACTGTACCCATGACTGACCCTTTATGTTACTGGCTCCTGTTAGCGGTCTCCTGTTGCGCACGTGTACTCATACTTACTCATACAAATGCACACTATTCACTGGCCAGACAATAATGAACGGTCGCCTATGTTGTCTCTGTTTTCAAGCTGTTACGGACTGTCAACTTGCGTGTTTGTAAGGCGATGAAAGCATATTAAAACATGGTCCCACCGAATGGCCCAGATGCGTGTGGTTTCTGAAAGCTCTGGACTGCAAATTCCATTTCTGAATTTTCCACTTCCCAACTACTGAAGAATTTGTGTCAGATTAACAAACAACTCTTCAATGGTTACCTGTAATGTGAGGCTCATGGTGTTTCATTGTTCTTGGAACACGTGAGGAAAAGAGCGCGCTGTACAGAAATTAAAAATGCGATTATTAGAGACAAATAAATCATCGCCACCACCAAAGCGTGAATATTGCAAAATCAATGACAGTAAGTGAATGGCAAAGCCGTAACAAATGTGCTGAACGAAAAAATCAGCGAAAACACCAAGTGCATTGTAAGTATCCGTGAATATTAACAAGTTCACGATTATGCAGTCGATTCACCGAAAAACAATCACCTATAAGGACTTGTGAATAGCATTGATTCACACTCGTTAAATCGATCACTCCAGCCTCCGACACAGAGCCTTCCTTTTCGCGACATGGCGCCAGCCGCGCGGATCCTCACCTCCACCCTCATTGGCACGAACATTTATCCTGGATTATCCTCACACCTAGGTTCCGATGTTAGTACATCTCTGACTCACACATCTGAGGTATGAATGCACACGCGCAAACCCCACACACAACACAACGACACCAACGTGGTTGAGCTCTGAAGTAAACGGTTGTGTCCACGTCCTCTCCCGTTTTTTTCTTCATGGCGGGTATCAGGGAAGCGTAATCGGGCCAGGGTTAATTCAGTGGCCCCGACGTGGTTCAAGATCACATCCTGGGGCCCATAACAAACTTATTCTATTTTATTATACATGCCTTAAATGCACAAATCCAATCAAAAACAAGTATCTTTAATGACATTGAACAAAGCGCGTATTCGAAATGACAAGGAAGCAAATGGAAAACAGACACTGATTACCAAAGCAGTTAGGTGCTAAATATTCACTTGTGAGCTTAGTATCACATGTCATAGTGATCAGTGAAACACACCTGACCTGGGCCTAGTGCTTGGCTATTCAGCTAGTGCGCATTCATCGCGATTGCATGCTTGGACAAACGTAACGACTGATCATGGATATGCTTGATATAGGTCCGACCTCATCTCAAACTTGTGCCACGTTTTGCCACGCTGAAAATGCTAAGCAAAAGCAACACGTAAACAAACGACATCGACGCCAATTTAGGTTGATTTAAACCTAGGCATGAAACATTATTGATGTAATGATGCGGGGTAATACTGCCTCCGTTAAGAAGACAAAAATCTTAGAGCTCGTGTGGAGTTCGAAACCACGAGTAATTGAGTGTAAGATAAAAATAAAAAGAATAGAATAACTTTATCCACAGGTAATCGAAATATGTTGCAGACGTTGATTCGATGCAACGCAATCTACTGGCCTGCACATCACACTGAGTGCCCTCTCACGGTGCTATTTTTGATGAAGTGGCGGTTTGGATGTTGAGCGATAGTCGACGGTAGTCTCCACTAATTCAATCTACTCCTTGTTGTCTGAGTACAAAACGAACATAGCCATATCTAGCACAATTGCGTTAAATATTAAAGTGTAATTTTGCAAATGACAATGGGTAGACCTGAGGGGCCACACAACTGACGTGTCGTTGCAGAATCTGATTTAAGACATCGACTCGACTTAAACATTGGTCGACGCTAAATGAACATGATGGATGGGGTTAATATCAAACACTTTGTTAATGCAAACATGCAAGATCCTTTTTAATGATGGATGGGACTTATCACAAAGTCAGCAACACGATGACGAACAAGTATACTGCATTACTCTCATGTGATGTGGTTACCTTAATATGGCACAAGCAACTTTTGAACTTTCACAGCTGCCTTCTGCGTCGACGCACTTTCCAACATTCCAGTAATTCACTTTTCCAATAATCAACATGTCTATTTGGTAGGCTCCATTCTCACGACAATCACGACGATTACCTTCAAGAAGGTTCTACGGTTTAGCCCGTAAATGAAAATACAACACAGAGAATCAATACCAAAATTCATTGTCTTACACAATTGTAGTGGCTAGAGACTTAGCACTACCTTACAACACTCTAGTTAACAACCCGTTACAACCCGAGGAGATGGGGAACAAGAGGCGACACGTCTATTAATGTCAGCCAAGTGGCGTGCGTAACAGACGAATGCTGACAGAGGCCAATAACAAAAAGGAGAGTCATTGGTCCACTCTGGCCATATACACGCATCACTCACGCGAGGCGGCTGTCAGTCCACTGCACAATGTTCAATGTTCACAGATCAAGTCAAAAACACGACCTTCGGCGAAATTGCGCCAGTCACAAGGTGTAGTTGAACTTGTAATCTCCGTGAGCTAGTTAAATGTAGATCAAATCGGGAGCTGATTTGAAGAGGAGAGGCGCAAGATGAAGATGACCAATGTTCACAGCTTGGAACCATCGATTTGTGAAGGTGCGAAATCAACACTTAAGGTGAAAAGCTGAGGGACTTGCGTTGAAGGGGCAAACGTGCTCACGCAGAGTAAAGCACGGGGCAGAAGCACGTTACACGCCTCTCCCTGTGGACATACAACTGGTACTCTAAGGAACTGCTCTGCCCGCATGACGATAAAGGAAAAAACACGTGTCTAGGTAATACTTACCATCTGGTTTTGACACAGGAGTGTAAACGTTTTGAGTGCTGGGCCCATCCAATGCTGCTTTATTCACGAACAAGTACCCACAACTACAGACACAATCTCATGCTTATTATGCTAAATCAGATTTTTCGCAAATGCTGTGCTTCACGAGGTGACTGAAAAAGCGATGTCAAAACTCGTCTACCGATGTTGAATGTCTGCAAACCAGAATCACTAACAGACTTGCTTGCAAGTTCGAGTAACAGGAATTGCCCGGAAACAGTAATCGACGCAGACATTCTATTTGTACATGACGTAAGCCAATGAAACCACCTTATTTGTGATTGGTTATTCACGGCGTAATGCTTGAAGATGAGCTAATGTGTGTTTGCTTTACCAAGAACAGCACAACAATAAGAATGAGATTGCCGACATTTTCCGAAACCGCCATATTCGTTTGTGTTATTACAGTAGCACTTGGATGGATCGTTATCAGAAAATTAACAAGTCAAAACAATGTTTATTATTTGCGTGCATCAGGCCGACAGTCAGATAGCAATCTGATTGCATATCATCATGTTATTGATCAGATGCAATGGATATCTGATTACGCAACTAACCAGGTAAGCTATTCAGGCAATAGCATTTCGCCTTGATTTTGGTTATTCACATTTAATTGTGTTGACAAAGGAAGCAAACGAGTAGAAAAGCCTGCGAACGATATGTTTTCTATTACGTTTGCATTCAAATCTGTTAAACATATACATCTATCTATCGTCTCCCTATCTTTCTGTACCACGATGCATCCTGGAAGCAGGCATTTACGTTGTAGAGTGAGTTGTCGACTGGCAAAGCACCTGTGATCTACTACGACCGAAAACTACTGTATCATCCCACAGATCCGGCTGGGTGTCGCTACAAGTGCGTATTTAATCACGATAAAGAACGATTGGGCAAGGGTGATGTTGTGGTATATTCTGGCACATTTTCGCCTGAGGAAGCACGGAAGCTCAAACAACGAGGAGTTCTGATCGTGTTCGAGTCAGGTGAAAGCCCGTGGCACATGCCGTCTCTGGACACTTCGCAGTTGAGTCAAGTAAGTGCGCTGCCTACATGATTATGACTTTATACTGGTGTAAATTCAGTGGTACAGACTTGCCTACATAATCAGGAATTGGCTGCTTTTATTCGCATTAGGAATATCTGAAACTATCTAATGATTTTGTGATCCATATATTTGCACGTCAGCATTCATTACAAGGTAACTAAATAGACCACAACCGTTGATTTCGAAGACTGTATTCATGTAGTACGCTTGTTCAAAAAGCACTTGAAGAAGGGGTGTTTTCGTATTCAAAACAAATGAATATCAACTAATCAGATGACTCTTTAAGTTCAGTTTCTTACTTTCCACACAGAATACCTGACCAAATCTACGCGTTTGATTATTATGCTTTCGACTTAGTGATTTAATCAAACAAATACATGCATTGGAATATGTGTTCTGATCAAAAACAGGATTAATCAATAGCGATCTTCGTTATTGCAAAAGTTGAATGATCACATGCTTGTGCGCTTCTTTAATATTTCATAGATCGACATGTTTAACACGTATATGGCGGCTTCACCTATACCCTACATGTATCCCCACTTCGTCCGCAACACAAAACCCAAATTGAAATTCACCAACGATGAGAAAGCTGCGATGTTGACAAGAAACAAAACTTACCTGCTGCCTTACTATCACAGGCAGAGAACAAAACTAATCACGTGGGTGGTCTCTAATCATCGGCCACAAAACAACAGAAATGAGTACGCAAAGGCGATTGCAAAATTCATTCCGGTAAGCTAGATTGTTTGCTATATCATTACACGTTTACACTTTAAATGTGATTAACGGGATGTCCTTTGACATGATGTTGATAAATGAGAAGTTTTTACAGAGAAGACACACGCCGGCATGAAAATGTGGCAAGGTTTTGAGTCTGCTGATTCTCAGTAAATTTCAGTCCTGTGGCAATTAGCTAGTAGTTCACATAATCAAGTATCCGCAGTGTGTGCGACATGTTGAAAGCAACTTACTTTAGTAATGAAAGGTGCAATTGTAATGCCACAATATTGGCCAATCTAAATGCACGCCGCTCTTTGCTATTCTCGCTCACAAATATGTCTCATGGTGTTGCTTGACACGACGAACCTCACGGTAACTGGCCTCAAACTTCTCGAGCGAATCATTGCATTTTGCGCGATACAGCCGCAATTTTCAGTTAACGTTAAACCTCAACTTATTTGATGCATTGTTGCAACAAATTTGTAGCACCACATTGGTTGGTTGTAAGGGCCTGAGAGCTTAAAGACGAGATGCGCCAATTGATTGCTGATGACATTTTGCTACAATCATTCTGGAGGTATTTCCCCTCAAAGCACCAAATGAATGATGCCCAACCAATTTGGGCCCTTATGAGCGAATCCCTACTGGAATGCATAATTTTTAACAATTCGATTTTTTAAAACGTGCTATTCCAGTTTTTCTTTTTCTATATAATCTTAACTGTCTTTTGCTTTCTTCAGCATCTCACTAATTGCTTGCGAGCAAGCAGTAGGAACTCTGTAAAAGAACTGTACTACGACAAATATTAGGCAACCCAATACGTTCGAGCCATATTCTGATGCTTTACGCGGCACCAAAACGCTAGCACACTGAAGTTGCTGTTCTCTGGAAACAGTGGCATTTACCCTAAACTCACAATTAATTTTTTCATCACTCAGAAAAGTACTATCATGTCAGTAATCGAAATCAATGCATTCAACTCCGGTCATTATGTATACGTCCCGATTATATGCACTCACCAATCATTTAAAAATTAAACCGCATTCGAAATTTGCAGTAATGCGTTTCAAGATCTACGTACATGCACCTAATAAACGCATTCACACTTTGTCGTGTATTGGTGAGTTAAAACGGCGAGCGTAATTGGTGTGGTAATTGCGAATTCACACTTTCAATTGCAGGTGGACATATACGGACGGGGAGGAAGGCAGTTTCCACCTGGTCGTGATTTATTTCAATGGCTTTCCGAAAACTACAAGTTCTACTTAGCCTTCGAGAATTCGAACTGCAGAAATTACATAACAGAGAAAGCTACAGT